TGTTTACAGCGGTAACCAAGGAAACGCTGTATCACTGCTCCATGAGCGCCTCCTGCTGTCAGAGAGAGAATCTGCATCTCATTCAGTGCCGCTGTGTTTAGACCGGTAACCAAGGAAACGCTGTATCTCTGCTGAATGAGCGCCTCCTGCTGACAGAGAGAGAATCTGCGTCTCATTCAGTGCTGCTGTGTTTACAGCGGTAACCAAGGAAACGCTGTATCACTGCTGAGAGAGTCTCCTGCTGTCAGAGAGAGAATCTGCGTCTCATTCAGTGCTGCTGTTTACAGCGGTAACCAAGGAAATGCTGTATCACTGCTGAGAGAGCCTCCTGCTGTCAGAGAGAGAATCTGCGTCTCATTCAGTGCTGCTGTGTTTACAGCGTTAACCAAGGAAACGCTGTATCACTGTACCATAAGCGCTGCTGTGTTTACAGCGGTAACCAAGGAAACTCTGTATCACTGTACCATAAGCGCTGCTGTTTACAGCCGTAACCAAGGAAACTCTGTATCACTGACTTTTATAGACCTTTTCTGAAAGAGATTTAAATGCGGTACTCAGGCGTTTTGATAGATCATTTCTGTTCGCGCCGGCGGCGCCGCGCACACACACACAAACCCACAGCTCTGCTCGGACAGCACGTGAGTAGGCTACCAAATTGAGCTTTCTGTCGCGCCTTCATCAGCAAATGCACACAAAGCATGTCGGAATGACAGTCTTGAGGAGTATCCACGTAAACGAGTATTGTTTCCGATCCGCACTTTACAGGTGCGGTTTCTTCAACCCCTAATACTGCTCGGTCCCATCGCCGTATCGGCTCAAATGCATAGGCAATTGCACTTATTATGGACTTAACAGTGCTTTCAATGTAATCTTCCTCCATTTCAAAACAAGCGTGTGTTCAAATGTAAAGAAATGCTTGTATTACTTCACTGGCCATCGGAGCGAACGGAGTGAACCAACCCCGTGACGTCACACGCGGTGGTACTGCAAGATGGCGGCGCCCTTAAGCTATAAGCTATAACAAAACAACCTTTTTTCTTTAAAATTAATCATGTTTGTTATATATTTTTTTATGGAAATCACGTAAAGCTGTCAGAAACATGATAATGATAATTGAGATGATAACTGAACTCACGAAGAAACACGATGAAGATTTCTGTTTGATCTAGCTGTGATGTTTTTGCACTAGTGGTCGACCGATATATCGCCATGGCCGAATTTTCAAATATCGGCATTGGCCGATAAGTTTTTCTGTTTGGCCGATGTGTTCGAAGCGGGACTTTTATTTTGACGGCACGTCAGACTTTTATTTTGACGGTGCCGAGAACGGCTGCAGCAGCGCCTGAGCACACAGTGCTCACATTCTCCCTCTTGTTCGCTGTGGCGTTAACAGTTCTGTCTAATACGGATTATATAATACGTCTATCTAATAATCAGATAGAACGGTTCAACAAAGGAATTAAAATGTATACAAAAAGTATTATAACGATTGCTTTTATATTATTAGTAATACACTTCTTATGAAGTGTGCATGTGTATCCTGCATGATCGCGTGTGCTCTGCGTGACGGTCGGTCCGTGTGAACTGAATGCTGACAGGAGGAGAGTTCAGCTTCACTGAAGACATGCGATCGACAAACTTTAAATTCATGATTTTAAATTATGCTGCGCTTTATGCATTTGCCCACTGCCATATTCATGTCATTTTCACTGTGTGCTGTATGTAAAATGAGTGTTACCTTGGCTTTATTTGAAAAATATGATTCCCAATGCACACAAACTTCCCAGAATACTGTGTCCCCTGTTGGTTATAGTGCTTGCTTCCTTTTTAATTATATTTTTATTAAATATTTATTTGTGAAAAATACTTTGTCTTCTAGAGTATAAGTATGATTATTTAACACACTTATTTTTTTTAATCCATTTTCAAATGATTTCAAATTTCTTAAATATTAATTAAAATAAATCAAATTATATCAGCCACCCTGCTTCCCAAGATGTCTGCATCGGCTGTCAAAAAAACCATATCGGTCGTCCACTAGTCATATGACCCCTTTAAGCTTGTGTGCATGTATGAGTATCTATGCGAGTGTGTATGTTTGTGTGTTTGAGTGTGTGTGTTGTGGAATGGTTTAATAATTAGTGTGTAAGTGTGTGTGTGTGTGTGTGTTTGAGTGTGTGTTGTGGAATGGTTTAATAATTAGTGTGTAAGTGTGTGTGTGTGTGTGTGTTTGAGTGTGTGTTGTGGAATGGTTTAATAATTAGTGTGTAAGTGTGTGTGTGTGTGTGTGTTTGAGTGTGTGTTGTGGAATGGTTTAATAATTAGTGTGTAAGTGTGTGTGTGTGTGTGTGTTTGAGTGTGTGTTGTGGAATGGTTTAATAATTTGTGTGTGTGTGTGTGTGTGTGTGCGCGTTTGAGTGTGTGTGTGTTGTGGAATGGTTTAATAATTAGTGTGTGTGTTTGAGTGTGTGTTGTGGAATGGTTTAATAATTTGTGTGTGTGTGTGTGTGTGTGTGCGTGTTTGAGTGTGTGTGTGTGCGTGTGCGTGTGTGTGTGTGTGTGTGTTTCAGACTCACCAGTCTGTCGATGACGTTCTGGATGGTTCTGTACCATTCTCTGATGAGCGATTCTGTCTCTGACTGCAGCAAAAACTCATTTCCCGTAACCGTCCTCAGCTACACACACACACACAGAGACACACACACACACACACACACAAAGAG